CGGTTCCTTCCTCTCTCCATCTTTACAACAGAGATAATAAACTGAGATGAAAAGTTGTGAATGTCAAACAAAATCATGGATAGGACAATTTTTTGAAAATTGCCTGGTTGCAGCTTTCTTGACGGTATTTCCAAACAGTTCTGCAAACTCTGCCTCTCTTTGATCATGCTTCCAGGATTCAGCAAAGGATGTGTTTATCCCCATAAATAAAATTTAAAATTACATAAACATCAATACAAAACTAAAAGACAAGTGATGGAAGAAGCCATTCATGGTTATCTGTTTATGTAGGGCTGTGGGTAGAATTTAGGTTAAAAATGGATTCTACCGCTAAGAAAGTTGCAAAGTAATTATATTCCCCTATTTTTTAAAGAAGAGAAAATAGGCCTGCACAGAAGTACCCTTCTGTTTTACTTGAAATAGCGGAATTCTTCACAACTTAAACCACGTCGAAACTTCCCGGTTAGTGCTCCACGGTTAGTTATTGCTCTCAGTGTATTCATTTCTATGCTTTTTGGAAATGCCTCCAGTTAAAAATCGTCTTGAAACAATACGGTATCACAACTAGGCTCCCTTCTCACCTTCAAACATCACAGCTTTTAAAATGAAGGTGCCATAGTAAATGTGGACACACCCAATACATCACGACTGGAATTAGTATCTGGTTATGCAAATCTAACGCTGCCAGGCAGGTAAACGCCTCAAAGGCAGCACAGAGGAAATCCTGCCTCCCTCTAGGCTCAGGCCTGGAGTGAGTGAGGGGAGTCGCGGCGGGCCGGAGCTCCGAGCAGGCCTCGCCGGGGGGCGCGCTTCCCCGGGGGGCGCACCTTGACCGCAACTCCGGAAGCACCTGTGGTCCGGACGGGATAGCCCCCGGCATCACCCGCAGGAGCTCAGGGCCGCCCGCCGCTCCTGCATCGCCTCGGGTACCACGTGCCGCAGGGGAAGCGGCCCGGTAGCCCTGGCAGCATCTCGCGAGATCTCGCCGGTTCGGCCCCGTATTGAGAGCTTAGAGCTTAAAAAAAAAAAAAAAAAAAAAAAAAAAAAAAAAAAAAAAAGGCGGGGGGGCGCCTGCCTCCGGAGCCGCCGCCGGAGCATCAGCAATCGGCGTGAGCTGAGGCTCGGCCCGCGCGCCCTTTCTCTGGCCGGGTGGGCCGGACACCGTGCGCAGCCTGGTCTGCCGTCGGCGCACTGACGCGCTGACCCAGGGGCGGGGAGAGAGGGAGGAGGCCGGGGGGCCCCGCTCCTCTTCGCCGCAGAGCGGGGCGGGGGAAGGAGGTGGAGGGGTGGGAGGAGGGCGACGGAAGAGGAGGTAGCGGCGCCTAGATCTTCCCGGCTACGGCGGCGAGGCGGCGCTTGGCGGCTCCCGGATCGCGCTGCTCATGCTGCCCGAGGCCCGGCGTGGACGGGCCGGACGCGATCCCTGAGTGGGGTAGCGCAGGAGCCGGGACTGGCCGGGAGCCGAGGGAGCCTCCGCCGCGCGCCACTGCGGGACCGCGGCTGGGCGGGCTGAGGGGCGGACGAGTCGCGGGCCCCGCCTCCCGCGTGCTGCAGCGGGAGCCACCAAAGCCGCGGCCCCGCCGAGGCTTTAAACAGCGGGGCCCGCCCCGCGCCCGCCGCACTCGCGCGCAGACTCGGCTGCCGGAGGCGTTCGTGCCGGCCTGGGCTAGCGGCGGCGCGTGCGCGGCTTGGAGAGTGACTCCCTCACCTGGCGTTGCGGCCGCAACCACCGCCGGCCGGGGGCGCGGAGGGCGTGCAGCCCGCCAGGTCCGCCAGGCTCTCCGGGTCGGCCGAGCGTCGGGCGGCGATGGAGCCGGGGCCCACGGCGCCCTCCTCCGGCGGCGCGAGGCTGGCGGGGGTCGGGGAGACGCCTCTAGCCGCCGCGCTGGCCGCCGCCGGGATGGACCTGCCCGGCACGGCAGTGCCCTTGGTGCCGGAGGATGCTGCGACTGCGAGCCGGGGCGGCGGCGGGGTCCGCGGGGAGGGCGCCGCGGCGGCCAGTGACGGGCTGGGCAGACCCCTGGGGCCCACCCCGAGCCAGAGCCGCTTCCAGGTGGATCTGGTTTCCGAGAATGCCGGGCGGGCGGCTGCTGCGGCGGCGGCGGCTAACGCTGGGGCGAGGGCCAGGGAGACCCCCGCGGACGGGAAAGCAAGCGGCGAAAGCGGGCTAGCCAAGGGCAGCGAGGAAGCCAAGGGCCGCTTCCGCGTGAACTTCGTGGACCCAGCTGCCTCTTCGTCGGCAGACGAGAGCATGTCGGATGCAGCGGGGATCGGAGGCGACGGGCCCAACGTGAACTTCCAGAACGGCGGGGACACAGTGCTGAGCGAGGGGAGCAGCCTGCACTCGGGCGGCGGCGGCGGCGGCAGTGGGCACCACCAGCACTACTACTATGATACCCACACCAACACCTACTACCTGCGCACCTTCGGCCACAACACTATGGACGCCGTGCCCAGGATCGACCACTACCGGCACACGGCAGCGCAGCTGGGCGAGAAGCTCCTCCGGCCCAGCCTGGCGGAGCTCCACGATGAGCTAGAAAAGGTGAGCTCTCCCGGCCCTCTCTGCAGCCCTCTCGTCAGCCACCACCCCCCCCCCGCCCCCAGCCGCTGGTCCGCGCTGACCGCGGGATGTAGCTGCCGGCTCTCGTCTGCTGAGGCGTGAATGGACGTGCACGACTCGCTGGCATCCCTGGATTCAGCTGTCAAGGGTGGAATTGCAGAGGAATGTAACTTAATCTCTTAAAAGTTGGCAGCGGGTTAGGCTAGTTACGTGATACCAGAGAGGCTGCATTTAACAATCTCCCCCATCCAGTTAAATATCTTGTGTATGCTTTTTTTTTCTCACCCACGCTTAACAATTACCATCCCTCTGAATGACAGTTGTACTTTTAGGCCCCGAGAAGGGAATGTGCAGGAGGTTTAGGTGGTGAGGACGTTTCTCAGGAGGGAGTGGAGAGCACCTACCATCCGTGTCTTTTTTTAAAGGTTGTGTTGTGTGGCTTATGTACACCCGTTAGGGTTCCCAAGAGTGGGAACATTAGTATTTGAAGGGAAAATCTTAGCAGGGTGTGTTTGTGGTGTATGAATTATTAAAGCTCAATTCCTGCAATCTTGATATAGAAATCTTAAGTCTTGGGACAAGCTCTTCCTGATAATGGCATAAACTCACTTTTATAATGTAAACCTTTTGGAAGAGGGTTACATCAAAAAGGCGGGGGCCAGAGTCTAAGAGAGAGGGAGAGAGAGAATTGTGTTTTCTGTGGAGGATGTCCAGAAAGACCTTCTGGGGTCTTGTCTAAGTAGTTATACTTGGTGAACAGAAACCACCCCGATAAACTCTATTGATTTCTGTAATTCTTCTTTTATGGCCGCATACAACTTTTATTTTTTCAGGGTACAAAATCGTTCTTTTGAGATGACATTGATGCTTTTGAGATTTGATTAATAATTTTTTATGATTTGGGATTACTGGAAGACTGCCTTTATAAGTGTATAATGACTACATTGATAGAATTTTGTGAATGCAAAGAGCACCATATAGTTTGACACGATCGAAGTGTTGGAATGTTTAAATACAGAAAGTATGTAATTTCTTTTGGATATGATTATTTGACTTCATACAGTCGTTTCATACAAGACTGTACTTGTCCCAGTGTTTGAAAATGTAACATTCATAACATTCATTGAAATAATTGCCGAGGTCCCAACCCTTACAGCTTATTGATTGTTTAAAAGCCTGACATCATTTAGCTTTGGGTAATACTACTTCTTTCATTCTGTTATGGTATTTTGTTATATAAGAAGAAAAATGATTTTTAAAACACTTATTTTATTCAAATTCCTGTAGTTTCTTTCAAATCTATTATATTTTCATTTCAAAACTCAAAATTCTCATAAAGCAGATTATATAGCTGGTAATTTCCCTTTTGGAGCATTTTTATTATTGGAAATATTATATAGATAGTTTCAGATTTCACCAAAGCCCTGTAGTTTAGTAGTAAAACAGTCTGTATTTACGCATAAGTCTTAAAAGCTTTTTTAATTGAACGATATTATATACCTTGATCTTGTATGCTTCCTAGGAAAGTTTTTGTTATTTTCAATTAAATTCTGTCAATAACAAAGCCCTTCCAGTTCTCCAGATTTTCAGGTTTTTGTTTGGTGTTTTTGGTCAGTTCACAGTATATAAAAAAGAACACCTGTATTGTTTAGATGTATAGTAGTTGAAGAAGTCACCTAGCTTCTCAGCCTCAGCTTCCTCACCTTTCAGAGTTATTCTGAAGATTAGGGGGAAAAAATGTATGCAAATGCCCACGTTCAGTGCCTGCAAAATAATGCCTAGTATAGTTACCATTTCAATCTTATATTGGCCCTTAAGAAAATACATCGTTAAACTTTAGGACTTCAGTTTTAGATTCTCCTAATTTCTGCATTTTTCAGTGAATGTAGTACCTAAAATGTTATGTTCAGAATTTCATTTGTGCAGCATGTAGTGTAATGAGTTCTTTGTAGTTTTTTACCTTTTACCATTCGGGCCCTTTATGGGCAGCGAAAAAGGTTTGTTAGGTTAAATAAGCATAGAACCTCCTCTTGAAGATAATTTTGTTGAGAACTGAGTGAATGGATTAAAGAGATGTGTCATGTTAAGGAATACAAATCTGGCTATAGATAAACCACTGTTGAAGGAGGGCAGGGGAGGCCTGATAGTATAGGTTGGCTAGATTCCCAAAAGTTGTTCTTCACTTTTTAGATTGACTCTTACTCCTTAAAACCTTTTCTGATGCTTGTAGCTCTAGGTGAAATCATAATACTTAGAATTCTGTAACATTTAATCTTAGCTCTTGATTGACTGTCATGTAGTCTGTTTGGGTCACTGAATGCTTAAATATCTACCATGGATCTAACTTTGTGCTAGGAACTATGGAAGAACAAAAGAAGTAAAAGAAAAGCACTCCAGAAACTTGTTGTGGGAAGGGGCTATAGTGTCTTCTACGTGAATTCCTTTTTTTGCCCAGCATTGTGACTTTTTAAAGTATTTTGCCTAGAAATCCAACTGAAGGGGAATAGTTAAATAACCATGGTGCGTCTTGCTATATTATGCAGCCATTCTAGGGCCAGGACTCATGAGTTCTCCATTTATCAAATATTTATTGGGGAGAAGAGTTTCTTAGGTGTGGGCCACCTGGCTGTGGCCCTGCGGGATGATGCCGTGATTAGCGAAACAGATACTGACTCTGTCATACTCAGGCATACATTAACCGAATGGTTGCACAAATAACCTAGTTACAAACTTTTTTTTTTTTTTCCAGTACTATGAAAGAGAAGGGTTAGAATGCTGGTGAGGATATAATAGGACCTAATTTTAATTGGGGTTTGGGAGGCCTTTTTTTTTTTTTTTTTAACTGTAATTAGGTATTACCAAATAAAGTAATAAACAACTCTTAACTTAGAGTGCAAAATGAAAGCACCTTATTATTTTAAAGGTGCAAAAGCAAGAAAATACAGCATAAACTTATCCATTTTTAAACAGTCGTCTGTGTGATAGGTATACAAAGTATGACATTGAAGCTGAAACCTGAAGGCTAAGTTGATGATAGGGCAGAACAATATTCCAGGCCAAAGGAACAAAATCTGTGAAGATAGTGAGGTGAGAGAGTGGTATGTCAAAAGAACTATGAGGAGGCCAGTATAAGATTTTATTATAAAGGTAGTGCGACGTTATTGAGTTTTGTGTGAGGTAGCAACATGATCTGTTTTGTTTTGACACCTTTGGATTGCTTGATGGAGAAGGGTGAGAATGGAAGCAGCTTTTACTGTGGTCTCCTTACAGATAGTAAGGATTGGGGTCAGAATGAGTGGGACGTAGGTGAATTGGATGTGGGAGTGAACGAGAAGCTGATTCCCAGCTTTTGGACTTGAGCAGCTGAATAGATGGTTGGTACTTTGCCTAAGATGGGAAAGGCTGGAGAAGGAATATAGATTGGGGAGGAAAGAAAGAATGCTTTTGAGTAGCCTGCAAGATATCTTAGTCCAAGAGTCATTTTGAGGGAGAAGGGGCAGAATATGTTTTATATGTATATGAAACATATATGTGTATGTGTATATACATATATATTTACATATATATGTACATGTATATATATTTATGTATTTATCATCTAAAGTCGTGCATGAAATTACTTGGGGAGAGTGGGTAAATAAGAGCACAGAAACAGGGTCTGGGATTGGGCCTGGGGAATGTCTAAAGGTCTACTAGAGACTGTGGCAACACTAGCAAAGGAAATTAAGAAGGAGCTGTTAGGCTGGTGAGAAATAGCCAGGAGAGCAGTGTCAGGGAAGCTGAGAGAAAAGTGTTTTTTTTTTTTTTTTTTTTTTTTTTTTTTTTTATTATTTTTTTTTTTTGCGGTATGTGGGCCTCTCACTGTTGTGGCCTCTCCCATTGTGGAGCACAGGCTCCGGACGAGCAGGCTCAGCGGCCATGGCTCACGGGCCCAGCCGCTCCACAGCATGTGGGATCTTCCCAGACCGGGGCACGAACCTGTATCCCCTGCATCGGCAGGCGGACTCTCAACCACTGCGCCACCAGGGAAGCCCGAGAAAAGTGTTTTTAAGAAGGCACAAAGTCTTCAGAGATATGCCAGTAATTGATTTTTGTTTTTTAAGTATTTCAAAGAATAAAACCAAAGTAGTGATTCCTGCCTCTACAAGAAGAAATTAAAAAGTGGGGGGTAAACAAATAAGTATTTGATAGACAACTTCAACATGTATGATGGAAAGCATGATTATCAAATGTGGAAAAGCGTGTGGTGGAGAATCCATAATAGCTCCTACTGGATTTGAAGCAGTTTTAAAGTAGTTTGAAAAGAGTGCATTACCATTGCAGTTTTGTCCGTAGGCCAAGACTTGGAGCCTTTTGCTGGTGGTATGTCAAATCTTTGTATGTGGCCTCTCTATTTTAGCCTCTCTCATTAATAAAAAGGGAAAGGTCAAGGGAACAGCTATATCAAGTGTCTTATGTTTCAGTGAACTTGTTGGTTTTTTCATTTAATTCCTAAGAAATAAGTCTTATACACATTTTACTCATGATAAAATGGGGTCATAAAAAGTGAAGAAATTGCTTAATGCCACTCTCACAGAAAGTGGTACAGCTGGCATTCACACTCAGGTTTTTCTTATTAATGCCAGGGCATAGTAGCTCCTCTTTATTGTTATTTCTTCTTTCTCCCTATCCCGTGGACCTGCTCTGAGATGGCAGGGATGTTGAGGGGGACATGTTGGGGGTTGCCAATATCACTCTTCTATCTTGACCTCCTGAGAGTAGAATGGTTACATAACTGAGAGAAAAGAGGAGGAATTCTTGTGATAATGTAATTACTGACTAATATGACTGTCTCTTTCACTAGGATCTGAGCTGGTGTCTCATTCATCTCCAGACAGAGAATAGGTAGTTAATAAAGATTCGTTTATCAAATGTATCAGGGTGGGCAGTTCCTCCCACTTAACAGGGACTTTAAAACACTAAACAAGTATAGCTGCTTCTCT